TTTATAGGTATTAAGTGTTTTCCTGATTAACTGATGATCTTTGGATATTTTTTATTACTCAATAACAACAAATGATTGGCGAACCCAAGTACGCTTTTTCAAGTGGTTATTTAACTTTTTGAACGCCCCTTTTTGTCAGAAGCTACATCTCAGTGGAAAAATGATAATTTATAATTTGACAAAACGGCCGGTTACAGACATTTGAAGCAGTGGGAAGGTGGAGGAGCACTCTAAAACCTTGAGTATGCTTCAAGTAATTTAACCACCTTTCGGCTTCTTTGAAACTTTCCGCGTGTTTCACGTCTAGATGCACGTTGATGCATGGGCATTACGCACTTGCTTATTGAGAAAATCAAGGAGTTGCATTAAAGGCTCTTCCTTTTCCAATCTGCTTCAGTGGCCACATGAATGCATTGAAGAAAGTTAGTACTCACCAGAACTAATCCTTCACAAACTCGTACTATAATAAGAATCACCACGCTTGCTCTGGAAGCCAACGGGGTTAATAATGTCAAGACCGAGGCTATCAGCACCGCTGAACCAAACAGGCGTGTTCCTCCGAGTTTTAAGGCGAACCAGCCTCCGGGGATTTGCAACGCAACGTAGCCGTAGTAAAACGAACCCAGCACCACCCCTGTGAGTATAGTTACACAGGTTAGCATTCTCCCGACGGGTAGTGGGTAAGAGTTAACACGCTTTGTTTAAATGTTTTATCATACAAACTGCGATGTTCTTCAGAGATTTCCAGCCCTGAGATAAGCCGTAACTGTACTTGTATAAAATAACGATAATTTCTTACGTGTGTTTGAGATCACCAATCAGCTACTGACTCATCACTCGCCTTTCGCACAACTCTGTCAGGTTGATGAACGAATGACAAAGTCGTATATGAGAACGATCCTTCGCAGTAAAGCACTCATAACCGCAGTTCACACCTATGTTTCATATGTTTGTTGTTGTTTGAATGACAAAGTGTTGACCATTCTCAATCCCTGACCGTTTGTTAAAATTTTCACGTCATTATAGGTTTATTATGGGGTGCCATTACCGCCAATATTCAGCTACTGTTTTTTTATAAAATGGTGCTTAAGATATGAAGCCAATTATATTTTATGCAGCTAATCATTTTATAAAATGATTAGCTGCATAAAATATAATATATACATTTTATAAAATATCATTTTATAAAATGATTAGCTGCATAAAAAGCACTCCATATATTTTAAGGCACCATTTTATAAAATGATTAGCTGCATAAAACATAATTGACTTCATATCTTAAGCACCATTTTATAAAAAAAGAAAAACAGTAGCTCAATATTGGTGGTAATGGCACTCCATAGTTTATGGTGTTTGAATAATAAACACAACATCTGGTTGCTCGTAAATGTAGAATTTCTCTTCGCGCGTTCAACTCGAGTTAAACTCAGAAATTCCGTACTTACGCGCCCATGTACTAATAATATTCTCTCTCTCTCCTTCTCTTTATATATTTACATATATGTTGTAGTTTAATTTTATCCTTGGTTCAAATTTTATTTTCTTTTGTTCTCGGTCACGTTAATGTATGATAATGAGTTTCAAACAAAGGAAAATAAAATTTGAACCAAGGATAAAATTGAACTACAACATATACATCATGCCTTGCCAGGGGACAACGATGCCATCGTTTCAAAGTAACCCTACCTTGTATTTTTGAGCTCCACTTGAATTCCCCCTCCTGAAAGCGAAATTAAAGAAAAATAATTTGTGCATTAGATGTGTCTATCACTTGTCTATTCCAGCCGCGCAAAGCGAGACCTGATTGGCCAAGGATTGTTGCTATGAACACAATCTTGAAAATAAATTTCGCGATCTTTGTGCTCTTAAAGTCATTCATTAAAGTCAGTGTAGTCAATTTAGTGTAAGAGAAACAGAAGAAATGGTATTGCTGGACCGGTTCTGCTTTTGACAGCGTCGTTGAAACTGCCTTACATGTTAGAGAATTTAGTCGATTGTTGAAAACTACGCGCACGCGCTCTAAAAGCGCACTGTGTCGAACAAGCGAAGATTTTTCTATCTTTTCCAAGTGGTAATTTTCGTTATTTCGTAATTATTTGATTTCAGGGATATGAAAGCTTGAATTTATCTTTTTTAGAATGCCACCCGTGCATGTCAGGTCAGTCGCCGCGGGCGTTACTCGCGGCGACTGAAAAGAAAAAAACTGGCAAAATCTTTTGAATCATGGAAACCACAGACCAAATAAATTTACCTCCTGACCGCTTTATATTCCACGATTAGTCTGCGAGTAGTCGTTCTTGAATTTTTTTATGTGTGATACAATTTCGAATCAAGAGAATCAAGTTAGATTAACGTTATATATTACCTTTTCTGTCTCGACCCCATCGATGACAACGGTGTGGTTTTTAACCATCGCTCCGATGGCCACATTCAGATTGGTTCGCAACGCGTACATCGTAAAGAAACCCCAAAACACCAATACTGAGAGGACGTACCTCTTCGGAATCCCATTCGAACAAGTTCCCATTTCTTTGGATCAAGGCCTCGAAAATCTTGTAGAAATATTTACGGCGTATTCGACAATTTTCTGACATTACCAACAATATGGCTTACTTGTTTATAGTTATGCCCGATAATAATCCTATTCGAACTTAAAGTGTTGTCCAATGGAGTAAAATTTCTGACAGACAAATGCGCACAATTACTAAACTGCCCACATGGCAAAGGATGCGTAGATATACCGTTCATTTCGCGCCATTCAGTGACACAAGATAATTTTTCAATATCATTAATTAACCATAACCATAAGTTAAACCAACAAGTAACAGTGCAACTACAAAATACTGTAATGAGAAGACGTGTTATATCGCTTAAGTGCTGGACCTTTTAGACCAAAAGAGTAAGGAAATATGGATTTTTTTTTAATTTCAAAAATATCATAAACAAGATTGAGCCATTTTGAAGTAGTTTGCATGAAGTTTGAACATGGTGAATTGCAGGTGGCGCCCGTCAAAACATCTTGAAATGAGTCACCTTAAACTCGATCGATAATATAAAACAAAAAACAAATAACAAAAGTGGAGTTTAATGAACCTCAACAAATTTTAACTAAGAAACTCCCTTGCAGGAAAGTTCAAAACATTTTTTTGAAAAAACATTTCTATCTCAACTTTATGGTCCTAAGACCAATACTATTCCTTTCCTTTTGAATGAGTGCCTTAACTTAATGGGTGTGTTAACTTCCTCGACAATTTCTAACTTGAATGCACTCTGCAGAACAAAGGAAAACCTCGTTGAATTACAAACAAGTTTCTGGTCTACCCATTGGCGAGATTGAAACCTAAGAGAAATAATAAGGGACAAGTTTATTTATCACTAGAGGTGTGGAACGGAGGATTTGGGGCGGAGAATGAGATGGTTATCACGGGGAACGGAGGGGCGAATCAGTCGTCGCCACTAGAGTATACAGGGGTGACTATAGAAAATTTACTTCCGATTACCTGGTAACGAAAAGGGGGAAAGGGAGGGGGGTAGGGATCATAAGTTTACTACAGAGTCATGTGGAAAGATTACTTATATTTACTTGAGACAACAAATCACCTAACCCCCACCCACTTCCCCCCCCCGTCTCACCCACAGGGCGATGAATAATGACATGTTCCTAAAATCTACAAATTATATTGTACACGAAGGCACGTAACGGGCTCAGGTTTATGATTGTCTTAGCTGCCAGCAGCACTTCCAGATTCGGTGTCTCCATCTGTTGGTTTATTGACAGTTTGGTCCCAGTCCTGTCGTTCTCCGGACATCAACAGGCAAAATAGGAAAGTCCCTCCAAGTAAAATTACAAATGTTAACCAGAAGACTCTTTGCCACTCTTCAGCAGTCTAAGACAGAAAGAAATGAAGTTTGCACTTTGTTACGTAGTCGAACATTTTTTTTTAGAAAGCTATGAGTACAGTATTTACAGTAGAAGGTTTCATATTTTGATAAAGACTGAACGCAAATATGGTGGACTATGCTAATGGCCCGGGTCGAGTACATCAAAGCGAGGTTACTCAGGTCTCGGGTTTTCTTTTGGGAGCAGAGCTGTCGAAAAGTGAAGGGAAGTTGTAATGCAGTCATGTCCTATATCGCTAAGCCCACGAGCTTGTCTGTTCCTGATTATATATAGTCAAAAGGAGAAAAAACTTTCACAGGAAGGTTTCGATTTTTGAGTTTCCCCGTTCGCCTCTGAGTAGAACACGCATACAAGATCAAGTGATATATGATTGCTCTTATGAAAAATTAATATGCATCATTGAGGTATTTGTGGTTTTTTGAAATTTTTTTCCATGGGGCTGATTGACGGATTTTAGTAAAAGTCATCGGTGTCTTTTGTTCTTTCCTGGACGTCGTTCTTAGTTCACTCACAACAGACTGTTTCTGTGAGGCTAAAAATGTTCATTGACTAATGCAGTTATTTTCAATGGAGCATCGAAAGTAAACTGGAATTGCTTTGAGTTTGCTTGACTTCAGTTCGTGATTGGTCCAGTAAACTTGCGTCATTTCTTCAACTTATCAGATTCTAGACCTTAACCAACTGCGACTTGGTCAATCACCTTTTCCAACGCTGTGAACTGTCGGCTTGCTTTTACTTTGATTGTCATCGGCTCTTTGTGACTTTTTCTTTTGCTGTGACCGGCTGTTGTGATTGCTTTAGCTTTGCTTTAACTACAATCAGCCGAAATGTAATCTATACCAACCTTATCTTGAGTAATGAATCCCACTATGGTTGGACTGACAAACCCAGCAGTTGTTCCAACAGTATTACAAACGCCCATTATAATACTTGAATAACGTGGAGCTATGTCCAGCATGTTAACAGTGTATGCCGGGAACGCTAAAGACGTAGTCAATCCCGCCAGACTCATGCAAATAACAATCACTGTGACATTTAAAGAGTAACCAGCTATGAGAACTAAAAACCCACTCGCTACAGCACCTGGGAAAGAAATAGGAAAAAAATTACTACCAAGAAGACGGGTGAAGTAGTTATCGGTCAAAACGAAACACCAAATTCACGATGACTGCCGAAAGATGCTTGTTCTCGATAAAGATCGAGGTAATAAAAGCTACAAGATGCGTTTTTATGGACCGATACAAAGATGGAGCCCATTTCCAGCTATCTTTACCGACTGCAGATATTAAAGAAATTACACCAAAGAATCCCAAAGGTAAGCCAGGAAATCCGCCGCTGTTCTTTTTGTTTTCACTACGTAGAAAAAGAAATTCGTGACTTTGTGTTTATCCAAACGGCCAGAAAAGGTTTTTTTTCGTTCTTGTTATATGGAAAAGTTGCTTATTGGTAAGCTATACAACCTATCTAAGAACACGACAAAGACACCTTTTGCCAAGTCAGAAAATACATGAACTAGTAAGTCAATTTTTATCGTACCAGCAGCGTAAAAAAATCTTCTAACGTTCTTTGTGGAAACCGTGCTCCTTCTGAGCATATCTGCTGCTAAGCCAGACAATGGAGAACATACACCTTTGACGAGAAAAGGGGCAGCAGCCATGAATCCCATCTGAAAATAATAAGAATGAAAAAAAAAAGGAATAACCCAGGAAGCCCGTTTTACTTACTATCGGTCTTGTCTGGACTCTTACAGAGCTAAATTGTACATTAAATTTTGTTTAAGTTAACTTCCCAAAAATTTTTATTTAGGTTATCCACAATAATATGTTTAATGTTTTCTGGCTACTCTTTCAATATAACTGGAAAATTTCCCTGGTTTCTTTGACATGAGACAGAAAACCAACTCCACAATAATGTGGCAATAATGTGGCCTGCACATCAGCCTTCTGATAACCCTCTCAAATATTTTTCAGGTCCACTTCATTAGGCTACCAACAAGTCACTAGTATCTGGCAGGGAGAATCTGAGAATGAGCTTAGCGAAAACCACAATTTACTTAAGGGCTGAGTGTAAGTGTCAGACAAGAAAAAAAATTACCTCGAGATCATAATACATAGACTGAACTACTGATCTTGTCTTTCTTCCTTCTTTTTTGCGTTTTTTCCATCTTCCATTTCACCGGTGTTGTGCGGGTCAAATAATGAATGCGGGTACGTAAATGTGCTCCGCTCTTAGATTTCCTTACTGTTAACTTATTAATATGATGCTATAAACTCACGCTGGTGATAGATGTTTTCATGACGTCTAGTAGAAAAGTTGGCATCGAAATAAGCAAAATATAAAATGCCCAATCCAATGCAAAGTTGGCCGCAATTATTCCCCACACAGGTGGCGATAGTAAAATAGATTTCCAAGGAATTACGATCTTCTCTACCTGAGGAACGAAAGACCATGTGCCAGGTTTAATTCGATTGAGGGGTGGGAAGCTAAATAAAAGACGTAACTCAGAATAAAACGAATATCAGAGGGATTCATATCGAAGTTAACATATACGCATGCAAACGGTCACAAAAAAAACTTAAAAAAAAACGCGGATGTTCATTCACACTTTGTTAATTTAGGAGCATTGTAAACGTCATGTAAGAGCCCCACCTTGGACAAGTCCAGTGCTGTTTCTTGTATTAGACACCTCTCGTCATCTGATATGGTCGGGTGAAGTGTGGGAGACTCGTAGGCAACCATCAGCCAAACAATGTACCATACAATACCAAACACACCTGATAAAAAGAAAAAAAACCCTAAAATTCATTATTTGCAATCCCTTTCTTTTTCTAACTGTCCTTATGTGACTGACTGACTGACTGGTTTAGCCACCTCCTCTAAGGCAAGTGGTCTCTCAGCGGAGTGGAGGGAGGAGAAGGCGGATAGTTCAAGATATTGACATGCACGTCTGAGTGAAAGGGAGGACGGAGCAACTTAGGTCTTAACGAACCTGAAGCTTTAAAGTTATCTTAGCCTTAGAGAACAGAGTAGAGAAAATTTTAATCATATATGATCGAAACGGGTTGTGAACATTGATAGAGTAGTGCATTACTTAAAGGCAGTAGCAGTCAAATCACATGGTTCGGATAAAGAAGTAACGTAAGTAAACTCGAAATAATTTTTAAGTTATCGGAAAATCGAAGGGGAAAGGGTAGTCAATGACGTACAAAACTCGTACGTTATAGGTCATTAACGTATCTCTGCCAACTAATGAAATTCCACAATTCCGTATTGAGCACACACACACACACTCACCAAAGCAGTAAAAAACAGAGGCCCAGCCCCCATCAAAACCATATTTGGTCAGCAAGCCTGTAATAGGCATAGTGAGGAGGTATCCAATACTTGCTCCTGAGATGGTAAGCAAAGCCCAAGAGCGTAAGTGCATGGGGTACACTTTACTGAAAAGAAAAACCACCCCGTACAATAATAGAGCAAACCTGTGATTGAAACCGTCACCAAAGTTGTTCTCTCAGCTGAAGGCGCCCATCGACTCCACATAGCGTGATTACAAGGAAATAAAACACCCTAACATTCGTGGAAATAAAAATAAAATTAGTTCTTTAAGTCCAATGCAGTCATACAGAGGGAATTGGTTTTTACTAAAACACTAACTAATGAGAGCGTTGGGCATGGCCCTCATGACAAAATAATGTTCTCAAACTTTTTTTAAACAACGCTTGCTCTGAAAGAGTTAAACCGGCTACTCAACTGTTTATCATGAGGATACATTCTGGAATTTTGTTTTCAGCGTTAAAATCTGTCGATGTTGTAGGGCTCAAGTTCCTATTGAAGACAAATTTCACTTTCCTCACTTTATTCCGCTCCGACAAATTCCTAATAAAGTTATTGTCACTTCTAAATGTAACCTTATAGACAGCCCTAGGACTTTATCCTTGGTGAAATGTAAAATTGTATATCGCTAACTCCTTTAACGTCGAAGCTTAAAACTTTCCAAAAAAGTGTTTTTGGAAAGAATTTAATTCTTATAATTTTTCCACTGCATCATATAGAGGAGTAGAATTAGTTTTAATGTTTTAATTTTTTATCATCGTCATCATAATTTTTATTTTTAACTCACCAACACGAGGCCTTCTAATACTCTTAATATAATTAATGAAAAAGAGCTCCAGCGCGTTGCCATGGGAGTCAACAAAGTAAACAGTGAGGCGATCATGACAGCAGCCCCAAACAGACGAGCTCCACCCACTCGTAGAGCCAGCCATCCACCTGGGATTTGGAACACCATGTAACCGTAATAAAATGCTCCTAGAATTACTCCTAACGAAAGCAAATAATGCTATCTGTTATTTACACGGCTATCGAATGTACACTAAAACAATTTAGAACATAGCTAGCAGAGTCGAGCAATCAAATTTATTGTACGTAAGCGTGCTCAAAATCCCGATAGTGCACGCTGATAGCGTCAGCAAATCCGACTTCGCCAGAAATTTTTTTTTTCGCGCGAGCGGCCATTGTTAGCGCGGGGAAAAATAATATCGCGACAATAATGGATACAAACAGAAACTCGGCCTACTAGTCCGAAAACGAAGACAATGTTTCGACCTTTTCCCTTGGGCTAGAGTTCTTAAATGAGGCAGAAAAAGAGAAAAACAAAGGAAAAGGAGACTCGGCATCAGCGCCGTCACGATTCGCTTCAACTGATATTGTTGTCCGTTTTTTCGCGTCGGATTTTGATGCACAATTCCACCGGCTATGTTCTAAAACAATTGGTTCATGCTTTCAGCTGTGCACTATCGCGTTATGGAGCACGTGGGAAGTTTGGAGAGCACTCAAGAAGCTAGAGTTGCCCTCGGCTATCGCCTCGGGCAACTCTTACGCTTCGTTCGTGCCCTCCAAACTTCCCGTGTGCTCCATAACTCGATAGTGCACGCTAAAGCATGAACCAATTGTTAAATAGTAGGAACACTGGAGGAATGTGTGATAATGTGAGTAGTTCCCCTGTCAGAAGCCTGTCATGTAAATATTACCCACTAGGACTAGTCCGCCTCGATGTATTTTTAGCAATGGAGATATTCTTGGTCTTAAGATAAGCTTTTTGTCTTTGTACAACCTGGTTTTATCTGGTTTTAAATGATAATGTCTTTAATTTTCACTGCTTCATTCATCTATTAAGTACCTTTCAGTTCGGGTTTCCATTTGAATTCCGCTTCCTGTAAAAAAAATATTAGAGAAGATACTTCCGAATCAAAACATCGAGTAATAATCTTAACATATGAGACTGGGGATAGTTTGTCACAAAATATCTTAAGAGTTTCTAATGCTACCAATTCTATGAATAGAATCTCAGCGGGTCTTTGGAAGATTAAAAGCGTTCAGGAGCAAACACAAAGTCTATTTACATTTGTGGTTTTTAAAACGTCTTGATACCCAAAAAGCACCTGTACTGAGGTCGGCGCATGTAGAGTGGTCGCTTCCCGAGAGATGAAACCATAAATAGAACCAACTTGAATTAATAGCCCTAGAATTAGTCGTGGTCATCCGCAAAGGTTGGTCGCTAGTAAAGTTGAAATGAAAAGGAAAGTGGATGAAAAAGTAGTGACATATCCAGTGCAAGGTTTAAATGCGCTTCACTATCGTTACCAATGACTAAGAAACATTAAAAAAATATGGGCCCCAAGTTCTCCAATATCATAAATTTCTCTTGGTATCTTATTTTAAGGAGTTGTGTCGCACAACTATCTTGACTTACCCTGCAGATTGTTTCTCCATCTACTACAGCCGTGTGATTATTGACCATCGCACCAATAGCGACATTCAAATTTACTCTTAACCCAGACATAACAAAGAATCCAATGAAAATCATTCCAGACAAGACATAACGCTTAGGGAGAGCATCAACAGCCATTTTACGTTAGATAAACATAAAGCAATCTTCGATAAACATGGACGCAGATGATGGAAACCAGCAGGAAGAACCTTCCTCACTCGAATTGTAACAGAATTACGATTTACGCGTCGTTTTAGATCTGTTGGCCATAATTCAGCTTAGCACTATCTCCAAAGGTTGTTCATCGCTTAAGCAAATGTCTAGTGGTCTAAAACATCTCTTTCCACAGCTTTTTTTTTAAGTTCATGTTGAAATGTAGCAGACACTTGAAATTATATTTTGAGGTAATTATTTATTGAAAGACGCTGAAAAACAAGAAAGATGACAGGTCTTCAATTGAGTCATGAGTGAGGTACCAGAGAAAAGAAGAAACAGGAGCACACTGCAACAGGTCCCTTTTCATCAAGATGACTGAAGAGATTTTACAAGGCTCTGCTGATGTTTATTTTAAGTGTGTCTGCAGGCCAGCCTAAGTAACTAAACAAATTCCTCAATTAAGACATTTAAACGAGTAGTTTAATATAAGCCTGTCATGAAAATCTACGAAAGTCTTAAGCAGTGAAATAGGTAACGTTTTGACAGTACGACCTATAAGTACATTTCTTCAAGTGAATCGAAGGAGCGAGATAGAAAGAGACGAAAATGCATTTTATATCTATATGGACATTCTAACAAAGTAAAAGCATCACCTAACGATCAACACACTAAGATGCATTTATCATTCTCTTATTTATCCATATCTTAAGTGTGGTTGTGCACTCTGGGGATATAAGTAGAAAACTTACAAAACAAAGCGGTTCACATTATCAATGACGTTCCTCTAAAGGAACCGATTACTCCTCGCCATACTGCCTTTAGACTTTTTAAAGTTCCTAACATCGTCAAACTTAAGACCTCTTTACTTCTTTATGACTATTCTACTACTGAGAAATATTTCAACTTAAATCTCTCGTTAATGTCCGAACTGCATGATTATGACATTCGAGGTGTATCCCACAACCTTCTGTCAATCAATTCCTTCTCAGGAAATTTTGTCCAACAATTATCGGTAGGCATATCTGAAACGATATTTCTCAACCTATTGGAGAAAAACCAACTAAACAAAATTAATGTTTAAAAAAGCACTTTCGTACTACTATCTGAATAAATATTAACTATTTATGTGCTTCATCTTCTGTCTTTCTCTCTCAGGTAAGCTGTTTTGGTTAAGTCTAGCTAAGTGAATAACTTTTTTTAATTATATAGCTGTCTGCGCCTGTGGGTAGGATGAAGCGAATCCAGTGTTCTGATTGGCGACCCGAAGGGGCAAGATGGGCCCATCTTACTTGCTCGAGATTGTCCGTTTTGATCCCGCGCAAGAGAGAAAGTGCGTGGAGCGGACCTACAAAGGTCGTAACATTTAGGCAATGTCGGCGACGCAGTCGTAAAAATCGTTAGAAGTCAGTCAAAAGAAAGAAAAAATTAAACGAGCTGGATATTGGCCTCGTTTTTTTTCCGTGTTTTTATAGACCTCGACTTCGTCTTGGTCCATAAAAACGCAAAAAAAAGTAGTGGGGAGGAAAACTCGACGTACCTCTCCTCTTTCTCCCTACACTTCTTTCGTGCTCTAGCCCCTTCCAGCGTTCTTCATTGCAACAGGATAGAGCACATTCAAGGCTCCTTTATTTGTTAATTAAGGGGCACTGTATTAGGTATCTAGAAGTGTTCTCTCCTCTCCTATCTCACATTTGAACGTAGAGAAATAGAATTGCATTGACGGTAGTTATTACGTTGTTCAGTATTATTTAACTTGACTTGCTGCTAGGTGAAGTGGAGAAATAAATAAGAGACAGATACAAACTAGATCAATAAAATTATTACACCAAAAAAATTGAAGTTTATCACCATAAACAGGTTTCCTGTTGCTTTAAAGGGGCAATTTTTACGGACGAAATTATGCTGGTCGAATTTTAATCTCGGTGCGCTTTAACGAATAATCTTGTCCTCGAAATGATTGCCATGTAATTCCTTGTGCGTAACCTCCGCCTCGATACAAACCATTTGGATTGGCGTTATGGCAAACATGATACCACCAGCCCCCATTGAAGTTTAATGCACAGTTTCCACTGCTATGAACGTCGTTATCTCTGTCTTTGGTTGTAAACCTCATATTTCTATGATATTAAAAGCATTTAATAAGAAACTGAGTAAAAGCTGGGGAGCGATGCTTCTAGTAGCAATTCACATTCATTAAAGTGCAGATGGCATCGAATGGTCAGAAATGTGCAAAGAGCACTGCATTGTCAGCAATGCACACGAAAAGACTCCCTTCTCGGGAAAGTTAAAGAAAATGGAATGGCAACCGTTGTTTTTACTCAGAGAATTATAAGGTGAATGATGTAGCAAACAGAAATCTAGTGTCAACAAGTTAAAAGAATCAATCCTGGTTAACAATAAACTTGAAGTTGAAATACCTTGGATCGGTCATTGTGCATGTAGCGATGCATACTGGGATGCAATAATTCAGCTTAGATTCGTCATTTATAGAAAAAGCTGCTCAGCATTATAGTGAGATCCTCAACTTCCGGCAATCATCAACGAATTTCAAAGTTCTAAGGCAGAAACTTTTCAGAAATTACCCTTATATTACTGGTCATTCTCAGTAAAAAGAAAAAAAAAACTGCAATGCTTACGACGTACCTGATAGGCTTCGTGAGCGATAGCAATGAGTCGCCAGCGGTCCCTCGGTATCCAGCGATTGTCAACCGATAATAATTGCTTTCGTCGGCCACAGAGAAAGTCGTGTACTCGGCAAATCTTCGGTCACCTTTGTAATCCTCCATATCAATTCGAAACATCATGTTGGCTGATGCAGTCAGACGGTGAAGAAAATCATTCCCAAGCCAAAACTCGCCCTTCAGATTTCCAAAGCCTTTTTTGTATGATTCCCAGTCAACATAAAAGTCTACAGAGCCATCCATGCGTCTTTGAAAAGTGGTCCAGCCTCCGCCATCAGTTGTCATGTCACACAACACTTGGAAAGGTTCTTCTTCATCAGGGTAAATCCAGTAAACACCGTCAGTTGTGGAACCATTTTGGTAATAGTCAAGACAGTTCTTGGGGCAGTCTGTAAAATAAAATATACTATCATTTGTAAAAAAATCGGCCTCATACAATGACGCCGATTGAATTGAATTGAGTTGAATTGAATTTTATAGCAACACATAGAAATGTAATAAACCATATCTAGTCCTCAATTGATATAGCTTATATCTTTCGTGATACTCGACGACCAAATTCCCTGGCTGATTTCCTTACCGCTTTTTAAAGAAGACTACATGAACCGATCTTCTCTCTCTCTTTAAATGTCTTTGTACTAGACGTTTCATATTTTATCTTTCGAAAACTTACCTCATCAGCTGCTAATCTACCCGTTTCATCTGTCCCCTAGCATTTTTCAAAGCGTCCTGATCTTATCTTCTTTTCCTAAGATTTTTGTCTTTCCCAGTTTACCCTTCCCTCCATGAGATAATCTTTCCTTAAGTGTCTCGTTCCATGGCTGCTAAACTAGAAACAATCTACCGGATCTCCTGTCACCTCTAATACACCTACAGAAGTGAGTGTCTAATTTGTAGTCAACCACACATGTTTCATTCTCCTTACAAGGATCATCTTTCTCGCAGGTGCTCTAAAGTCAAGGAAAGAAAATAGTTTACAAACTGACATAAAAAAGATGATGGCAGACTTTTTCGTTGAATAGTCTAAAAAAACGTATTGCCTCATGTTGGTGATGGATTTTAAAAGAAAGACAGTCAGGACATAAAAGGCGTCCAAGAACGAAATCATCTCGGCTTATTTCTACATTTATCTCTAAGTTAGCTTCTTGGGCGACATTCCCAATTAAATTTTTTCAGACGAAAGTATTTCTAAGGAATTTAGATTGTTTTATCTTAAAGTAGATTCATTACATGAAAGAACGGTTTTGCGGGGTTTTTCTCGTTCCTTCTCTTCTGAAAACCTCTGCCTTTACGACAGGTGCTTCTTGGCACTGATAACTCTAGAAAGATATTGTTTTCTTTGGAATCAGTCAAGAAGTGAAACACCTACAAAACCGTAGATACAACACAATTTTCAAAAGGCCGACGTTTTGAAGTGTTTAATTATGTAAGTTGTGATCATTTCAGTTTCAGTCCCGAGCTTTCAAAGCACGGCATGAGTTCTCTAAACACAGTAATTACTGACTCGCGATGCAAGGCAATCATTACCAAAATCACTGCGTCATTCAAAGAGTTCCTGTCCTTCTATTCATGAAATAAACGGTCCTAGCTAGCTAATAAAAGTTGTTTATTTTTTGAATTCCTAAAACAACTAGCAAGGTATGAAGTAATGAATCTGATAAAAATCGCAGCATCTTGTTCGAAATGAATTCTGACTTAATAAAGTAAAAAACTTAAAACGAACCGAATTCATCAGAACAAATATGTGCAAGGTCTCAGGTTAACGAGCATAAACTCTCAAAGTATGTAGTGTTTTCACCTGTATTCCTCGATATAATGCTCCATCCTCTTTTATAAAATTCCCATAACTCACGAATCGGTCCGAACCACTTAGCTGGCATCTGTTTGCAGCCTTACCATCGATGGGAAGGAAGTTGTATGAAAAGCATCGGTCTTCAGAGATACATTCAAACAGACAAGAGATTTCAGACGCCACTTCAAAGTCTCTAAGGACACTCCCGTCGAGTTTTTGATCGTTTATCGCCTTTGCAAAATTAGCAGTTTTAAACTCGGGCTCCAAAAAACGATTTGAGGCCTGTACGAGGGCCATAAGTGGAACCATCAATAGCACCCACAGGCACATGTTAGCTTTTTTGTGCTGACTTCGACCCAAATCGTAGTCGCTGAATTTGTAATCCAGTGGACTAAACTATTAAAACTAAACAAACTAAAACTACCTGATTCATAATTAAAAACTTTCGTCGCGAGGGAACAAAGAATTATCATTGTTACGAATGTTTACAACATCATGATATAAGCATCAACTTGCCGACAAATATGCATGTTTTACGTCAACTTGATCAAAATACCAGTCACCATTTGCAGTGTCACAATTGTTAATCTGGCCATTCTCTTGACATCTGATCAAACAACTGCATGGGGACTACGTTGAGCTATGATTATCGCAGATGAGCTGCGATTTTAGCAATTGCAGAAAAAAAAATGAAAAAAAGACAACTTTATATTTTTTAAAAAAATTAAGATACACTGAAGACGTTCTCTGGCTAAAAATTTTAGAAAACATAAGCTTTCGGCTGTCGATCTACAGCCTTTCACGGATAGCCGTAGTATCCGTGGAATGCTGTTGATCAACAGCCGAAAGCTTACGTTTTCTCAAACGTTTGACCAGAGAATGTTCTCAGTGTATTTTATTATGTCTCATCCTGGCTGCGCCTCGATTTTTTTAGATTAATCCTGTACTATTCAACCTTCATCGGCTGCCAGTAAATTATCGTATTCAATTCAAGATCTCGATGACTTTTAAGGCGATTCATAGCATGGCTGCTAGTTATTTAGATAACCTGATCTGTGTTAGATCATCGTCTAGATATTCGTTACGCAATGATAATGCTATGATTTAGAATGCCCAAAAAGGGGTTATGCGCACAATTTTAGGTGCCCACTAGTTTCATACCTCTGCGCCTGCGCTGTGGAACAGCTTGCCTGCGCATATCCGCACGATTGATTCGCTAGAGTTATTTAAGAAATCTCTTAAGATCTATCTTTTTAAGCTAGCGTTTCAGATTTGCACTACAATCTTATCTGTATTTTGAAGTTATTCATTTACTTTTCATTCATTCATTCATTTATTGTAATTATATATTGTAAATAATATCTTTATTGTAATTATTTACTGTAAATGTTAATATTCCAGGATTGTAAAGCGCCTTTGATCATCCTGTAGTGTTAAAGGGCCCTATATAAGTAAATAAATTATTATTACTATTATTATTATTATTATTATTATTATGATTATTATTAAAAGGCTTGAACGGTATTCGAACAGCAGCCTCCGTGATACTTATTGGGGGGGTGCTACCAAAAGGAGAAACGAAGCCACACGGTGCATATTAGACGACAAAAGAATGGACGTCGAAAGTATTCACCAAGCCAGTCAGAAAAATTTTACTCGGAAAACTTGGATACTTACTCCGAAGCAGGAAAAAAAAATAGCTTGGATTGTAAAATTAAGACCAGACTCACTTTTTTTCGGAGGACACTTCCAGTCGCAGGTATGGCAACTTGCTCAAATGACGAAGAAGAAGACAGTTGTATATCACAGGCGGCCCAGGCTCTGTCGCAGGCTCTGTCACAGGCTCTTTCACAGTGGATTATTACAGAGTTTGTATAGTGGTTTAGTTGGACTTGCTTTTGAGCTCCGTAAATATAAAGTTGGGTGAAATAATCAAAGAAATAAAGTCTTACCTTCATAAAGAGTAATCTGTGCTGTTCTTGTCGCGATTTGAGGCTGTTTTGCTGTGTTTCAGCTTTAAGTGGAT